TACCTTTAGTTGTGTACCAATTGAAAATGGTATTATACTTGATGATAGTGCATATGGCATATCCTTTATGAGATTGGCTAATACCACCTACCATTAGAAACCCAAATAATGCAGCAGAACTTTCATTTGTTCGTCGCCATAAATAAACAAGACGAATAATCGAAAATGAGTTTGGAATTTTAAAAGAAAAGTTTCCCTGCTTAAATTACATGAGACTTGGACCAGAAGTAACCTGCAATATATTTCAAGCTTGTACTGCCTTATGTAATTTAGCTAGGGACCATGATGCAGATATTATCTTGAAGGAATATGAAAATCACAGTAGCAATGATGAATTAAGAGTTGATGAACCAGAGAGAGAATTTTAAAATTTTCCATTAGGTAATTTAGAACATAGGTTGCAACAGATAATTAATAATTTTAGATAATTTAAACCATACTTACATAAGATAAAATTACATTTTTATTACAGTTAAGTTAATTAAAAAAGTCTAGTAGGTAGGCACTTTGGTTAATAAATGTTGAAACAAATAATGTAAATCAAACTAATTAAATATAATACAATAAGTTAAATGATATACATTTATAACGAATATTATACAAACAAAATCATACCTTATTAAAATAAATTAACATTATTTTAATTTTATGACAATATCATAGTATTTAATGTTTAATAACATATAGCAAGTATAAATCTAGAAAAAATATTTATTACATGTTAATAGAAACAACTTAATTAGAGTTTTAAGGAACTAATTGAGGTCCTTACTCTAGAAGTAGAATAGTTTTATCACAATATCATAATGTTTAAGTTTAATAACAAATAACAAACACAAATCTAAAATATATATTACATAATGCATAAAAATTTATTATTTGATTCACCAGTATTGTCCAGTACTAAATCAAATGTAAACTTGGAATGTTCTATTAATAATTCATTTTCTAGCTGTAATATTTCCAGCGTTTCTTTATAATTTTGTTTTTCAAGATATTCAACTCGAAGTTTCAACTTCCTGTGCTTTAATGCTGTTATTGTATCCATATCATTATATTGTTTTGAAGAACTATATGAATACACCTGTATCTTACAACATAAATTATACACCAAATAATAATTTGAGCTTTTATTAAATTGCATTTATAACTTTAAATTGTATACATCAAAATTTAACTAAAAAACATGCGGATGATATCATCAACTGAATCACCACAAACGTCACACGTTTCTGGTTGAGGTTCAATACAATTTGAACAATACCAACCATGGCCACAATTTAGCAGGATGTATTGTGCCATATCCGGTACATACTGAGGAACACGCATACATCCTAGACACCCAGGTACTGTGGGGTCCAACAGTAATGTACATTTCATCCAAGTACCTAAAATAAAAAATGTATAGGTACATATTATATATACTGTATAGGTATATTTACAAATTATTAAACTTCCTAACTCCTAATTTTACTCACCTTCTCCTATTCTAGGACACATTATATGGATTGGTTGTGTTGTTGTTAGCTGGTTCTGACAAATGGTGCAACCTCTTGTCCAACTACCTTCACAAGTGTCACAACACCATCCATGCCCACACGGCAGAAAAATATTGATTCCTTCAATATCCCCTTTATTCTCGAGACATATTAGGCACCTATCGGGAACCTCACCTTGAGAAAAAGTAAGCAAACAATTTAAAAATTAATTAATATACTATATTATGACTATCATATTAATAATATTATATTTTTTGTTATATTTCATGATATAAAATAATAATAATATACCATGCTTATAATCATAAATATTTTCAAAACTGAAGTTTATCATTATTTGGTGTAAATAGGAACAGGAGTAAAATTTGAGTAATCAAAAAATATAATGCACTGTGACAGCTAGGTATAATAACTTAATTGGCATTATTATGCATTTTTTGCATTATTACCATTGATCACTGTATATTTGTTTATTTCGTTGCTACCTACCCATCTACTGCTAGTTCAATTGATATTCCTCCTTCGATTTTAAAGTGTGCCATTATGTTATTTACATTATTTATTTAATTATCACTCTAAACATAGAGCACAGATAATATAAGGTGTTCGATCTAAATAATAGGATTATATTATGGAATTCAAAAGAAATGTTTATTCAAAATGAAACTAGCGTTTAGTGTATGACAAAGTGTAAGATATATAACCTTCTCATGTAGTAGGTAATTTTTTTTTTAATTATCTAAATTAATAGTTGTCCTATTGATATGTTAAGTACTGTATTATGTTTAAAAATACTTGTTTATTTCCCCAGTTAGATCAAATCTAGAATTTGGAATTCTAATAATTCTAATATATTATGATGCGTTATGTGTATAGAAATGATCTTGATACTGTTCAATACAAGTTTTTTTAAAGAACTAGCCTATATTTCTCATTGTCCTATACCTAGAGATTCTTTTTTAATTTGGTACAAGACTCCATAGATGGCTGTAATACGATTGAGAACGTTCGACCTTTTTTAGCGTACGATTGAGATCACTCGAAATGGAACAATGAAATAACCGCTGACCCAATAAAACAGTACTATTGAGAACGAAATTAAGTGCAACGTTGCCGAACTATATTCAAGTCAAAATAAAAATGAAATAAAACATTGAATAAAATAATTAAAAATTATAAATTTTAAAAATTTCATAATTTTTAAAAAAATTTGTATTATTGGTAGGTACCAATAATACAAACATTTAAAAATAATTTACAATTTGTGTTAAATATTTTACTAATCCTTCAGAAGATTTTTTTTGACAGTAGTTAATATAAGACTGTATTGTTTTTGAATTTTTTTCTTCATCTGCTTTTGATGCCTTTTGAACAGTACCCTGTTCAATAGTATTTAGTTTTAAAGACGTTTATTCCTGCTACATAGTGTGTGAGCAGTGCTAAGAGTCATATATATTTATATAGGCTTTAGCCATAGCCGATTATTATATGGAAAAGTTTGGCAACGTTGGGCGGAAAAATAAAAACTGAGCGTTCTCAATCGTAATAGTCAAAAGGGTCTAAGAAAGGTATCGCCAATAATGACCGTTCTCAATCGTATTCCTGCCCCATAGATAACGAGTTTATTAGACATAATTTAACAGAATATAGTATTATGTTTGTTTTTGATGTCATAAATGATCTGCCATCTGCTCAGAAATTTTATTTTTAATTGCTGTCCGAATTTCTCGTAAAAATACTCATAATAATTTAGACTTAATTTATATAACTAATTTTAAATCTAATATTATTTCTCGAGTTCTAAAGCATTACCTATTATTTACATTAACATGAATTATTATTATAATTGAATTACTAAGCGTTGTGTTGTCTTATCTTTTGTTTATTTTTTTTTCTGTTTTTATGAAGTAAGTTTATTATGTATACATTGTTTAAGAATATTTTATGTGTTATAGAATTGTAATGTTATTTACTTACCATCGAGAAGAAAATCATGAGGTCCAAACAAGACTATTTCAACATCAATCGATTAATCAACTTAAATACAAACAATATCACAATATTAATTTTAATTTTTCATATGTTATAAAGTTTTAATTTGTAAAAGTTATTTATACCTTCAATTCCTGGTGGCTGGTACTACAGCTTCTTCAACCACGTCTTCAAAAATTTCTTGAACAAAATAGTAAATACAAAACACTATTTCTTATAATGCTATATTTTTAGAAAATATAATTTCATCTAGTGCTAAACAGCCCAATGTCTTTTCTAAACAGAATACATACCCCCAAGGAGAAACTTAACTTTTATACTTTAAATTATGATTATTACCCAGTGCATCAAGATTGCCGACAACAGGAGGATCAGTAGGAACCGGATCTGGCCTTTCACCAATTGACGTCCACGACCTCTAGGCCTTCTAACCCCACGAACATGCACTGGTGGAGCTGGTGGTTGTGGTTGAATGTTGACCCTTATTGGATTTTGAACATCCATATCTCTGATGATTTCTGTAGGTAAAACAATCATTGTATAATTTAGTTTGTAGACATAAATTTAATTTGTTGTGTTACTATTAGGTAATTGGTCTATTTGTCGATCCAAATAGCCTCTTGCTGAGTAGGCTACTCGTCTCAAGTAACGCCCATTCCGTATGCTGTCTAAAGCATCAGCCAAAATGTGGTTGTTAGTATCTCTGGATGTCACAATAAATCGACGAACCTATAATTATATATAGGAACATCATAAAAGGATTATCAAAATTTACTAAACAGTATATTAAATTATCTTACTCTTTGTCCGCTAATTATTTGCCAAGTTTCTCTCCTTACTCTGGCTTCAACAGATCGCAATCGATCTACAAATTATTGATACATAATAATTTAATGTTCACACATATAATATCTGTTATTTAAATAAGATATATTTTACCGTAGAAAGTCCACACAGGCGGGTGGCGACCAATAGTTGATCTTAGCATGCTGTGGAAGCTCTCGACGTAATTGTTTGTACGGATGTTTAACCCGTAAACTGTAAAGCCTGCTGGACGGATGATGTTGATTCAATAATTAAAAATGTAATTCAAAAATTCTGTCACATAGTTTAATATGCCTATTCGTGTGGCAAGATTTGTAATTGCCAGAAATGCTCCGGGAATATTGAAGTCTTCTGGCAATTCAGGGACACGCTCTGCTGGTAAATGTGGCAAAGCTATAATCTATTACCAAAAACATATAAAGAAAATTATTGGAATCATATCAATTTATATGTTGATGAAACCTTTTTGTGATTTATTATTACCATTCTCACTATTGTGGCCCCACATCATGATTTGCAATATTGTGCGTCTGAATGAACCGTACTATGCTCTATCAAAAATAATTCATGTTACAAAAAAAATCTGACTGTCTTAAAATGAAATTATAGTGTTTGAATATGTTACATACAGTTAACATATAACAATATTGGTACCTATTAAAACTGAATACATTATAACAGACTTTAAATTAGTAGGCATACCTGGCTGAAATGGAACCAACACCCGACCAGCCGACATTCCGGAATTACCCTTTGAACAGCATTGCGCAAGGCAGTTTCAAAGTCGGCGACAATAGTTATGTTTTCCCAATTAAATATTCCCTGAGGAAAATCATTTCTCAGGAATTGCCAAAGCCTCATATACATATTCTCTGTCCTGCGTTTTAACAGAGCATACACCACAGGAACGGACTAAAAATACAATAGTAACTAATATTATATTATAATAAAAAATGTAATATTATAATAGTCAACAGATCACTTACGATATTATCCAAGACAACATGAATTGTCACCAGTTGTTGGGCATCACCAGGAGCTCGTGGTATGACGCCAAAAGTTCCGTCTACTACTAGAACTCGTGATTGATAAATATATGGCAAAAACTGCAAATTTGAAAATACCAGTCCCCCAAAAGTAATTTGTCCATTTTCTATGAACTCCAAGTTTCCGTTAAAAAATAGAGCTTTGACATCATCTGTGCAATGCATCAGATGATTTCGCCATGTCGGCGACAGTATAGTGTCTTCCATGGCCCTTAAGTTTTCGGGAATAGGCGGACTAGAGCGACGACGAATATAGCGAATTGATCGAAGAGCTTGTTCAGCTCGTACCTCCAAAGCTGCATTTGGGAATCTAAAAAGAGAAAAATTAATTAAAGTATTTAGCACATTTCCGCAGTTATATTACAAAATATAAGTCTACCTTCTAGTTTCTTCTTCAAAAATGTTTCTAGCTAATGTTCCCTCCACTAAAGCTCGCTGTCTCAGCGTTTCATTGAATGCACCTATTTCAATGTCGTGTCCGCAATGATGGTCATGTCCAGAATACATAACAATCGGCGCATTTATCGGATATAAAGGCATTAATGCTGTTGACCTACAACCTTGTTCATACCGTGAACATCGAAGTTACCTATATAATATATTATAATATTTATTTATTTAGCAACAAAAGTAAAAGTTATATAAGTTTATTTTATTTTTAGCAGCTCTAATTTATTTATTTATTTCAGGTGCCAGGTATATGATATTCTTTTAGAACTTACCGCTGATTTGTTGATTCATTGTTTTGTACATAAGTATACCTAAGTGGATCGGCGTACACCATGCGTCCTCTGAGCCCCGGGGTTCTTCTCAGTGTTGGGAAGGAACGCGTTCCAGGAACGCGTTCCATTTAAAATATAGGAACGAGGAACGGGAACGAGTTTCTATTTTGAAGGAACTTGAACGAAAATGTCCGTTCCTCAAATAATGAAAAAAAAAAATATAAATATATTTATTTTTAACACGTTGAGTGCCACAGTATATTTTATGAAGCGCATATTATAGTGTGTTTCCGCGCCAAAACTGAGCCGCTCCTAGAAAGGAGTGAGTTAACCAATTTCAGTGGTGGTCAATGGTGTTTTTTGCGAAAAATTTTTATTTCAGAAATAATCGGTTAACTCTCTCGGTTCGATTATTTCTGACTTAAAAATTGTTCGCAAAATACACCATTGACCACCACTCAAATTGCAAAAAAAAGAACATGAAGGAACGGGAACGCGTTCTTTTTTCGGGACAGGAAAGAGGAACGGGAACGAGTTCCTTTCTTACAGTAGGAACGAGGAAATGGAACTTTCCCAACACTGGTTCTTCTAGACGCTTGAGCCCCTTCCTCATTGTTTTCCATACCTCTGATAGGTGACCTCGACCGTGATCTTTCATTACGTTCATCTAAGTTGAATTTATATAGCATAATAATTTATAATACTGTTTAATATAAACTACTAAGTACCCAATAATTTGTATTTAGTCATAAAGAATTATTTAGCTTATAATATTATGTTGAGATTTGTTCATTTTTTATTAAAGTGCCCACTAAGATTTATAAAATTTATTTTGGATTTGTAATTCGTAATTAATAATTGCCAATTTTGCATAAAATAATGTAGTAACTAGATGTGAATTCAATAAAATGTAACAATTTGTAAATTAACTCAGTATAAGCTCAGATGATTTTATAACTTTAATATTTAAAAAAAGCGGGTAAGTGGATGTTGCTCTGCTGTACAGTAGGTTGCAAGTGGGCCTCTTAAATGGAATATATCAAATTTGAACTCAATGATATAATAATATCATTCTGAGTGAAGACGGTCAGCCTATAATATTACTAAGTAGTTATATTTTATGATATTACTGTGATTAAAGTACCTAATTAATTGTAGTATTAGGCATTAGTATAATAGTATCTGCTAGAGTAGGTTGATTCATTTTTGCCAAAAAAAATTACATTTGAAAATGTCATTGTGTGTTTAAAATATAATAATATATTCTAAAAGTTTAATATAATATCCATGAATAACATTTATAAATTGCAACAAAATAACTAAAATCGTTATTTTTGGTTTTAATGTTATGTAATTTCGTCCAAATTTCAATTTAAAATGTAATTTGTGAATTTTTTGGTTATAGTATTATTATATAAAAGAATCTTTATTTTACATTTTGAATCCTTAGTTATAAAAATGTATCATTTAAAATTCTTTAAATACAATGATTTTAGAGATTTTAACAAATTATATCTAAATTTGAACTTTAAATTATTATGAAAAAAAAGTGTGCCTACGTATCTTAAATATTTTTTAACTGCGATTGTAACAATATATCAGGAGCTTTATATTAAATTTTCAAGCTTTTTAATCAAATGAATACAATTTTATTGACATCTAAAGAAAAAAAAACTGGAAATGTCCGCGGTAAACAAGTCAAAATATTTTTTAAATACTATGGTGGATATAAATTATAAAATGATAATATAAACATTCAGTGATAATTTCATGTATCTACGATTATTTGTTTTAGAGTTACGCCAAAACCAAATTTGATTTTTTCGAAAACCAATTTTGCGTAAAATTTGCCGTTTTTCCTTAATTTTTTATTTGTTGTTCACTTCGCTTTTGAAAACTAGGTACTGGGAATTTTAAATTTTGCCCTCCCGATTGCCCAAGATACTAAAATTGAAAATCGAAGCATTATTTCGACTACTTATCGTGCACAGACAAAAAATAAAAATAAAAATAAGACAAACATCATTGTAAAATCAATACATTCTAAAAAAAATAATGGATGTACCTACTTCTACTTGAAATAATATGATTGATATTTGTGTGTGTACAATGAATTGTATTTGAAATGAAAAAAATATTTATCTGAAACATGTAGGTATTTAACATTTGTTCGATTTACTAAAAATTTTAATAATTTAAATTTCATCCAATCAGAACTTCCACTTTTTAGAAATTAATTTAATATAGGTAACTAAGTATCAGAGTTCCAGCCACATATTTCAGCCGATATCGGTCACTTACCTGCCATAGTGGAAAATCGAGTGAAATGGTTGTCAACAAAAAAAAAATCAATCAACAAATTGAAAGAAACCCACCGTGCAAAAAACTGTTATAGTTATGTAAAAATAACGCTTCAAAGGAACTCTGGAACGTTTCTAAGTAACTTCCAAAAGGTCCAATTCGTGTGACCTTTGTACTATTGTACTTATTAGTTATTATCGTTTATAACCGATTATTATCGATTATTATGGGTATTGTTAAATTGAGATAAAATTTCGTTTTGACTTCTGGTTTTTACAGTTGGGTTGTTAAATTGCCCAGTAGCAGTAAATTTAACGAATATTTAAGTCGTAAACGGCTTACTCAAATTAAATTCTGTAAACGTTAAAATTTTTTTTTTCAGTATGTTTATAGATTTTCGTTATCGAAAATAGGTATTGCCATTTGAAAATCGAAAGTTGATAGTGTTTTATCAAATAAGGGAGGAAGTTAAAATTTTCAAAATTGTAACACAGTGTAAAAAAGTAAAACCTAGAAAGTTTAAAAAAAAAAATTATTATAAAATTACTAATACTTCCCGAGATATTAACTGGTTCACGATAAAAAAATCACCCTGTATATACTTTTTATCATCACTATATCCTCATTTTCTAGAATAATACACCGATCTTTAACATTATCACAGCAAAAGGTATAGTTATTTGATTTAAGAGTAATTTTTTTGAAATAAGTGAATCTAAAATTTGAGAGTTTATTATCTATTTTAAAAGACTATAATAAACAAATTGTTATTTAAACTAGTTTTTAATTCTTCACCTTCAGATGCTAACTTTATTTAGAATTTCAGCAAGTGGAAATCTACAGCATTTCATTGATTTTTTAAGTATTTGAAGATAATTTTCATACTTAAAAGCGCTAAAATTATCTAACGGCCCATGTAAATTAACAAAAAAAGGTAAATGAATGAAGTTGTGGACGTTGTAACTAACAAATTTTGAACCATAAATGCGTGAATAATTTTGAACAAATTCTATTAAAAGTTTTGAAGCCAAATCAAAATGCGTATTAAAAATTTTATCTGAACACAGTATTCTAATAGATGTAAACAAAACAAGAAAGTGATTGTATTGTTCCTTTTTTACATTAGATTTTAAGACAATAATACCAGTGTAAAGTAAAAATTCACTAAATTCTGTTGCTTTCCAATATTCTATAATCTATATCATCAAGACTTCTTGGTAAACGAGCAAACTCTGATGGTACAGATTTTCTTAAAATGAATAAAGCTAAATAAATAGAATTTTTTTTTCCTCCAACATTCTTATTGGTTTTTTTCCTTTAACCCAGAAATCTAATAGTCTTTTAATTACGCCCTGGCATACACAATGCATGTAATCCAAAACTACACACTTTGTTATATCAATAGGAAGATCTATTAATGGGCTAAATCCATCTTTATGGTATTCAGAATTTGATTTTAACCTAAACAAATGATTTGTTCTTAAAGGCGCGGTTACATCTAAAAAGCAAATTCTATCCAAATGTATGAATGACAAGGGAATAGGCCAAAACTGTGTTTTAGAATTTTTACCTAAAGGAAGACCATCAATACTGAAACTTAATTTTATCATTATATTATTAGTTATATTATTTATTTGTTTTAATAAGGGAGGTTGCACCATATTACAAATACCTAAATTAATTTATGTACCATTTTTAATTTCTGAAATTGCTCAAACAGATTTATGTTCTCGTAGAATTGTACGAATATCCTTGGGAACTTCTTGACCCGTGTTTCTAAGAATATTTAGCATTTCATTGGCACAACCATGTGATACATTAAACTGCACAGCCCACTTACGAATTTGTTGAACTAAATCTTGGTGTTTATCATTTATTACCATTAGTTTCATACAATATGTCATCAATAGGCTGAGTCTCAGCAGATTATTCCTAAAAAATTAAATGTTTAAGTACATATAGGCTATAACATAATATTTTAATATATTATAATTAGTGACACAATTAGGGCTTAAATGTTGGGGGAGCTGTAGCCACCATCTGATACTACATGGAAAGTAACCCGAGAAGGTGTTTTCCCCACACCGCCATATTATATAATATTCGCTTAAAAATATAAAAATTATGCAAAAAAAAATTTTATTTACTCAAGTTTAACTTTTTTCAATAATAATGTACTATGTATATAATAGTTAAGTGCACATACTGTAAAATCATGTTTAATAATCGTACCAATGTACCGACAAATATTGATTTGTTAAAAATAAATACAGGAATACAGCTAATGCTATTTACCATATTTATCATAGACAATATAAAATTATTATAAAATTTAAATAAAAGTTAAGAATTACAATTTATAGTTAAATTTTAAAAGGGTTATTTAAATTTTAGGAAACAATTGAATAATTTATTTTGGGGGTGCTAAGCCCCTACAGCCATCCACTAGTTGTGCTTATGTATATAATGTAACAGAAAGATAAGTAATACTTACAATACAAGCAGGGGCGTACTCAA